GCTGTATTACAATTATTTCATAAAAGCCAAACAAGCTCACCGTTATGGTACTTGATGAATCTACAAAGAACCTGAAGACGACAAAAAAGTTTTATGTATTTATGTATTTTGTGCTATTGACACCTTTTCACCCTAAATTTGGGAAATGAAAATTGGAGGATTTAATTATCATGAAAGAAATTCGAAGAGAATCCCTTCTGTTATCCTTTATCCTTCTTCTATGTGCAGCACTATTCAAAAAGATACAAAAGGAACTCATTTGAGGAAGGTTTCAGGATTTTTCTATATTGTGAGCGGGCTTACTTCTCGAATCAACCACAGGTAGCTCAAAGTTACATACCAGACTATCACTCTCGTGTGTTCAGCTATCGGAGTGCTTGAGATTTCTTTGTTGAATTCACTTAAACAAAAAAGCCAGATCGTGAGGAAGTCAGTATGTCTAAGAAAACGCAACCTTGCAATCAGGCTCAATCTGGCTGTGGGAGATGCCCCGTACCGTTTTAGCCATGCATTTATTTCCTACCACACTATGAATTCGAAGTCTTATTGTTCAGTCTCAGTGTGCGAGTCGCGCTGGAAGTGAAGGAAATTGAGTTATAAGCTTGTCTGAGAAAAAACTAATAAGTTCAACACCTACCGCTTACAGAGCTCAACAATGTCACTTAATTATGTGTGACATTAACATCTCGCAGGGGATAAGATTGAGATGAACGAAGTGGAGCGAAAGCCAGTACAGTATTCTTTGGGGGATATGGCTTGCTTCGTTGAAGGTGTTGAATTTACTGATCAAAGCTAACACATTTATTCAATCATTAGCAAATTTCTGTCCACATGGAGTGGGAGTGGATGTGCAGCGAGAACGAGCGCTGATTTACACGCTTTGAAGTGTACGGATGAACGGTGGTGGAGGAGAGAAGGGCAATGCTCCCACTTTTAAAAGGCTCGAAATAAGAGACTCATTCGGTAAATACAATGAAATTCTCACTTATGTATGTGCGAGAATATATGCCGCTACCTAAAGAACGACTACGTCGATGACGTATTAATCTTTTATGTCGTCCGGTAATTCTTGCAGGAATTTTTAAAACTCTGTTCTCGCCTTATTAATTGCTTATTCTCTCTTGTTGTGGTCTAAGGGAGTGGTGGGTACCATTTATAGCGAAACCGGTATGTTGTGATAGCAGGCAGCACCAACTCAAAACAGTTTTTAATAGGTAGTTTTGGAAAATTATTTCTCGGAGATTTTTACTTGATAGTCGGAGTCGGAGATCAATTCACGGTTTCTCTGGAAACTGGTCTATTGTGATTAATTGATATGTTGGATGTGACGTATCTTTACTACACGGCGACATGAAGTCAAACCATGGATTTGTATGTGCCTAGAAAAGAAGTTTAATACACTATAAAAAATTTGAAAAAGCAACGTTCATAGAAGAACGTTTATGAAACGCTGCTCTGTAGTTTATCTAAAACTCCACAATGAGGTGCCTCTGATTGCTAAGGATAGGGTCGTGCTCTATAGATTAAATATAGAAGGATATCTTATGATAAATTCGCATTGAGAGAGGGTGGTTTGCAAGCCGTATCTCTACGGTAAAGCACCACCGTGATGATTATTCCACGTGGCGTATTTAAAATTTCAAGTAGGCGAAGGTAT